ATGGGCTGTTGACCCGCAGCTCACACAAAAATCACAGTCTGAGTCATTTTTAGAAGGACATCTCTTAATATCCACCTCACCTTGAGGCGCAACTATTCCTCTCCAAATCAGGCAGAGGTAAATGGGAACCAGAAGTGATTTAAAGCTCATCTTAGCTCAGAATTTTTCAGCTTATTTATTGTCTTTCTCCCAGAGCTCTTCTGTGACTCTGGCTATTAAGATTACGGATGTTTTTGTCGGGGATTGTATTTATCACGGATTTAAATTTAGCTGAGAACTAATAACATGTGAGGTGTGTCTAGACTTTAATTCTGCACAGGCGGGCTGTGCTCGTCGGTAACACCTCACAGATTCTGCTCCATTCATCCATCCATCCATCGCCTCTTTGCTTGTATTTTACCCCTCGACACCGCGGAGCTCTGGCTCTGCCCAGCAGGGACGACAGCAATGAACCAAAGGTGCTGAGGGTGCAATCCCCTTCCTGCTGGTGGAGAGGCGAGATTGGGCCCAGAGAAGCTTGGGATGCAGGATCTGTGCGTGGGGCCCTGTGTCAGAATTCGGCTCTCCACCCTCCCCGTGCCCAGCGGGGACCAGCACACGGTGGCACGCGCAGGCAGAGCAGAGGTTTTGGCCCAGCACGCAGCCAAATAAGGCCAGTGCCTGGCACACTAATGAGCTGAGTGGTTTCAGCCCTGCTATAATTAAGCCCCTCAGACTGTATTTTGTTTTGCACGCCGTGTTTTGCTGTCTTTGATGGCTCTCTCTCCACGGCTGTGAGGAACAGGAATTGGTTTCTGAGGAGCACAGGCTGACGGAGGCTGCGGGAGCCGGTGCACGTTTACGAGCGGGTGGAACAGCAGTGCCCCGAGAAGCTCCCGGCCACAGGGAGAGGTGGCACAGGGACCCCCTGGCAGCTCAGCCCCAGCTGGGGCTGCAGCACGACCCTAGGGAGCAAATCCATGTGCCAACCAGGGTGCCATCCTGACTCCGTGGCACCTGCACATCCCTGCAGCGTGCCCTGGCCCCAGCCCCACCCCAGTGGCATTGCAATGGTAGCAGCAGCCCCACTTGTCTCTGTACAGCTGCCCAGCACCAGGGAGGTGATGACATGGGAGATGATGGATTGTAAATACATGGCAAACAGCTCTTTGGAGCCTGGCCCAGGCCCAAGCAATCCCACTGAAAATGGTTCCACCGGACTGGGACATGCTGGCCTGGGGCTCGACAGCACTGCAGGGGAGCTGGTGGGATCAGCTCCCACCCCTGCACCTCTTCACTTCGTGGGTGATGTGCTCTGTGTGGTCCCCAGTGAGCAGCCCCACTGCAGAGGGAGCAGGGAAAAGGGATCAAGTAGGACAGTGCACTGGGAGGCAACCACAGAGGGTTTTTGTGGGGACTCCAGGCCCTCACAACCCATTGTGCCAAAGCTAGTGGTTTTCCCAGATGGTGCTGGTGGACATTTTTATGGCCAGTCCATCATCTTCCATCCTTGCATCAGGCAAAGAAATTTTGAATAATATTTGGGGAACAAAAGTTATCCTTGGGTCATATATCTGTATGAAATGCTGAATATGAGCAGATGCAATAACAGGAACGCACAGAACGTATCCCAGCCCCATAAATAGTGCTGAGCAGGGAAAGTAATGTACAGGATATGCAGTGATGGATACAAATGGAGCCAGTGGAAGTAATGGATTGGGTGTGTTCGGCGATAGCCATAAATAGCATTAGTGGGAGCAGTGCAGAGAGTAACATAACAATAGATATAAACATGAGCTGGAGTAGTCTTAGACCTAATATACAATATTAATATGATTTGATTCCTCACAATAGCTTGAACAAGGAAATAAATGCAACAGAGTCAGTGTGACGGGGAGTGTCCAGTTCCGCCTTCCAGTGGGCTGGGAGGGCTTTGGGCTGGGCCACAAGCCAGACCATGAACTCCCCAGGAAGGTCCCCCAGCCCACTCCAGGGATGGCAGCAAGAGGCTGGGTCTTTCCCAGCTGAGACCAGGCAGCCTCCCCGTGCCCTGCAGCCCCCTTGGACCTGAGTTCAGGCTCCTGCACACTCTGTAGACAGAGTCTGACCAGGTGCTGTGTCTCGGGGGGAATGGTGTGGGTCTGCCCTTGCAGCCTGGCATGGCAGGAGACAAGGGAATGGCCCTGGGGTCACACACAGAGAGCAGCTGCTCTGCCCATGGGGGAGCACAGAGGAAGGGGGCTGGTTCCCACAGAGCTGTCGCTGTTGCCGACCCCAAGCGGGGTTCCCCCAGATGCTCCATCCCGTGCTCAGCTACTCTGTGTTTGCAAAGCAGCCTTTATATTCAAGCTCCATCTACAGGGAACAGAATAATTTCAAGAGCTTAAAATAGGATGTAGATAGATGTGTTTCATATTAAATTATTTTTTTAAGAAGCTGAGGAAGCTGTCTGACACAGATTCCTCAAGGCTTTCCACTCAGAAGTCTGTGCACGTTCAATCAGCAAGTGGAAAGTCGGGGGGTTGGGAGGAGAGATGGTCTTGTAGCCAAGGGGCTGGATTTCAGCTGGAAAATTAGAACCTCTGCTCTGCATTGGCCATGCCTTTCCCCCTACTGTCATCTCTGCCAGGACTGCAAAACCTTTGGCTGTGGCCGTGCCCACCTTTTGCTCATGTCTGCCTTGCTGTTTCTCTCCCCCCTGTTGCCTGCAGGTGAGAGATAGGATGGTAGCTGGGGAGGCGAGTATGCGCAGCCCAATCCTGGCCTGCTGGCAGCCGATTCTCCTCCTGATGCTGGGATCCATCCTGTCCGGCTCCGCCACGGGCTGCCCGCCGCGCTGCGAGTGCTCCGCCCAGGAGCGCGCTGTCCTGTGCCACCGCAAGCGGTTCATGGTTGTGCCAGAAGGGATCCCGACTGAGACCAGGCTGCTGGACTTGGGCAAGAACCGCATCAAGACACTCAACCAAGATGAATTTGCCAACTACCCTCACCTGGAGGAGCTAGAGCTAAACGAGAACATTATCAGTGCCATCGAACCTGGGGCTTTCAACAACCTCTTCAACCTCAGGACGCTGGGGCTCAGGAGTAACAGACTCAAGCTGATCCCCTTGGGGGTGTTTACTGGACTCAGCAACCTTACCAAGCTAGACATTAGTGAGAACAAAATTGTGATCCTCCTAGACTACATGTTCCAGGACTTGTACAACCTGAAGTCTTTGGAGGTGGGGGACAACGACCTTGTCTACATCTCCCACCGGGCCTTCAGTGGCCTCAACAGCCTGGAGCAGCTGACCCTGGAGAAATGCAACCTAACCTCCATCCCCACGGAGGCACTGTCTCACCTTCACGGCCTGATTGTGCTGCGGCTGCGCCATCTGAACATCAACACCATCCGGGATTACTCATTCAAGAGGCTGTACCGGCTCAAGGTCCTCGAGATCTCACACTGGCCCTACCTGGATACTATGACATCCAACTGCCTCTACGGGTTGAACCTGACCTCCTTGTCCATCACCCACTGCAACCTGACGTCCATCCCGTACGTGTCAGTGAGGCACCTGGTTTACCTCCGATTCCTGAACCTGTCCTACAATCCCATCGTCACCATCGAGGGCTCGATGCTCCATGACCTGCTCAGGCTCCAGGAGATCCAGCTGGTGGGAGGGCAGCTCACCACAGTCGAGCCCTTCGCCTTCCGCGGCCTCAATTACCTGCGCATCCTGAACGTGTCAGGGAACCTGCTGACCACCCTGGAGGAGTCAGCTTTCCATTCGGTGGGCAACCTGGAGACGCTCATCCTCGACAACAACCCCTTGGCCTGCGACTGTCGGCTGCTCTGGGTTTTCCGGCGGCGATGGAGGTTGAACTTCAACAAGCAGCAGCCCACCTGCTCCACCCCTGAGTTTGTCCAGGGCAAGGAGTTCAAAGACTTCCCTGACGTCCTCCTGCCCAACTACTTCACCTGCCGCCGAGCACGGATACGGGACCGCAAACCTCAGCAGATCTTCGTGGACGAAGGCCACACGGTTCACTTTGTCTGCCGGGCAGATGGGGACCCGCCGCCCACCATCATGTGGCTCTCTCCCCGGAAGCACCTCATCTCTACCAAAACCAACGGGCGGCTCACTGTCTTCCCTGACGGCACGCTGGAGGTGCGCTACGCCCAGATCCAGGACAATGGCACCTACCTATGCATCGCCAGCAACGCGGGTGGCAACGACACCATGCTGGCCCACCTGCACGTGCGCAGCTACTCCCCAGACTGGCCCCACCAGCCCAACAAGACCTTTGCATTCATCTCCAACCAGCCCAACGAGAGCGATGCCAACAGCACGCGCGCCACCGTGCCTTTCCCCTTTGACATCAAGACTCTCATCATCGCCACCACCATGGGCTTCATCTCCTTCCTGGGCGTCGTGCTCTTCTGTCTGGTGCTCCTCTTCCTGTGGAGTCGGGGGAAAGGCAACACCAAGCACAATATTGAAATCGAGTACGTGCCACGGAAGTCTGACGCGGGCATCAGCTCTGCCGACGCGCCGCGCAAGTTCAATATGAAAATGATTTAGCCAGGCAACAATTTGCAAATAATAATGGTGTTGTTTTGTTGGTTTTTTTTTTAAAGAAAAAAAAATGAACAAATAAAAAATAATTAACAAACAGTGCTACAAACATACCGACCTCTCTCCTTCCACCGTGCCCTCTGCCCCTTGTCCAAACCCACTGCACCCACACTGTCACCACCTCTTTCTCCTCCTCTTCTTCTTTATACCAGGAAAACATTCATCCGATGTCTTCAGGACTCCTGTGTTTGTAAGGACTTTGTCTGATGGACTCTAGTGTCAGATATAACTCTTGAGAGGGGAAAAACAGCAGGGTGGGGGGGAAAAAGAAAGTAAAAAGAAATAAAATCAATAAAAAGTTACGAACTTTCTTCTGTAACTTTGATTTCAATAATTATGGATTTTTATGAAAACTTGAAATAATAAAAAACCCTATTTCCTATAGATAGTTGGAATGCAAAATCTTGACTTCTTGATCTGTCCAGTTCTGTACCTGGCAAGCGCTCAACTTTCTCACCCCAGAGGCACTTCCCAGATGCCTTGCCAAGAGCAGCCCCAGGCCAGGGTGAGTCTCCCACCAACACCAGATGCACCTCCTGCACTGTCCCAGGCCCTGCGTGGCACCAAGAGGAGTTTGACTTTTCTTCACAAAGACCAGTTGTGGTTTCATAGCCAGTTCCCCTGCCCGTCCCCAGAGCCTGAGGAGTGGGGCTGTGACACCGTAAGCAGCAATGGAGCAGGGCTGTGTTTTCCTGCCCTTTGTGCTGGGAGGAGGATGCAGAGCCCATTGTAGGGCAGGGGGCAGCTGGCTGTGCACATGGCAGGGCTGGGGATCCTGCTGCTTACATGGGGAGAGGATTTTCTGCCAGCCTTTACCAGCAGGACCGTGGTGTCTCCTCTCTGAGGACAAGCTGGCTCTTGTGCTCCGGACAGCTGTCCCTGTGGGCAGGGAGGCAGCACTTCCATTGGCAGCATCCACTTGGGTGTCTCCAGCACCTGGTACCCCATGGTCAGAGCAGCTCTAGTGCTGCTCCCCACCTGCCTGCGATGACTTTCGTGGTGGCTTTGGGACCCGATCGCTGGCAGCCAGACTCTCCAGCACCCTCAGGTACATGGAAGGGAATTCAGCTTCCAGGCTCCCAGGAGACTTAGTCTGAAAAAAAAAAAAAATTGCATAGGTCAATAAACACACACACAGGCTGAGGCAGACGACAGGCACAGGCTGTAACACGCTGTCTGCCCTGGTCCAGCTCCAGTGTGCCCATCACTGTGGGGTCTGGTCATCAGCAGCAACCTACCTTTGCTCAGCTCTGGGACTTGGATCAGGAGATCTGGAAGGTCTGTGCTGTCTCACAGAACCATAGAATTGGATTGGAAGGGATCTTAAAGATCATCTCATCACCTCAAGGAAAAGGGAGAAATGGGGGTTAAATTTGCCACTGGGTTTCCAGAGCTGGAAGCACAAAACATCCCTGCAGATGGTGGTAATATGGCCACTAAAGGCTTTTATAAGCCTTACTGAATGAGCAGGTCCTTCCCATCCTTCCCAGCTGCTGCCAGGAGGGTGGCACCACGCTGACCAGCAGCCTCCTGGCTCACCCAGCCCTGGTGGCATCTCTGAGGCAGATGAGCCGAGGTTTGCGTGCCTGATTTGTAAAGCACCTAAGGAGTCTTCAGGGATCAAAGTCACTACAAGATGATGAAATGTAAGCAACGGGAACCTGGAGCCCCAACAGGGAAAAGAATGAGTTTGCTTTTCATCCAGCAATGCGCCAATCTAGAAGAACCAACCTGAAGCATCTGTGCAGGTGGGGAGGGGGGAATTTTTGCTGGTTTCAGCTTTCTGTTCATCTTCAAACAAAAGATCTTGTGTTTCTTCCTCCACAGCAGGTTTCACAAGCATCTATTTGTCCTTTTCTCATCTCTAACCCATCTTTCCTTTATAACTTTGAAACGAAAACATTTTTTAAAAGCCTTTTGCTTTTGTTTTGCTTTTTAAAAGAGCCAAAGCAAAATGGTCTTTATGAGCTTCCCCTCCCACTAGTGTTAAACCAACATTTTCAGCGAGCTAAACATCAAACTACAAACAATAAGGCAGAAACCTAGGGATGAAGTTGAAGGCAGGCACGCTCCAGGGACTGCAGATCCCTCTGGGAGTTGTGTTCCCCCAGGAGAGGCAGGAATGCACGGACATCTCAGCACTCAGAGGACAATGCCAAGCTGGGCACAGCTGAGCAAGCACAGTGGGCACAGAAATCTCAGTCTGAGCCTGGTTGCCAGGACCAACAACCAGTGGTTCAGTAGACAGCAGAGAGGTGAAGGGGGGGGATCTCCATGACCCTGGACACTGGCCATCCAAAAGAGCTGCTTACTTAGTTGGCTCCAGTTATCCCTCTTAATGCTGTAATGAAAACAGTTAATTCAACACACATGGACTTAAAGGAATACTAATAACCAAGCCCAATGAGGCATTTGTAGTACAATAGCAATTGAAGAGGGAAATCAAGTCTTTCACTGTCAAAAAAAGCTTGAAAAAAACCAAAAAGGAGGCAGGAAATTATTTCTTTTCCATGGAAGGTCTCTGGATTTTTCCCAACCCAGCCCTGCCACACAGCCCCACACATGTCCCCAGCCCCTCACCCTCTGCTGCCCAAAACCCTCCTAGGTGAGGCCACGCTGCTGCCCTACATCCAAGCTGCAGCTCAAATCCCCCATTAGCAAGGGTGCCCAACGCTCTGTGGCACTGCTGCCTGCCACACACTTTGTTACCCACACTGATTTTTTAATCTTCGATGCTTTGTGAACTGGATAATTTTTTCTTTCCCGGTCACCATGTGATTGAAGCAGATGGATGGAGCAGAAGAAAAGCATCTCGGAGTGGCCAGAAACTCAGCTCAGCCATTTTCATGGATGGTAAAGATGAGAAAAAAAAAAAACAAGTCCAAAGAATAAACTCTCTTTTTTCTCCTTTGCTGAGATTTACAGTCTGTTTCTATTGCAGTTTAATCAGGGGTGAGAGAGCAGAGGCTGGGTTCCAGCACTGTTCTTCAGGGAACCATGGCCCGTGTGTCAGAACCAGACAGCACTTTCCACTTGTTTCTTTTGAATAAGGATAAATACAGAGCACTTTATAAAAGAGCTTAAAAGAGGTAGCAAAAAACACAGGAAGAGATGTGCTTAGGGCACAGAGGGCAAACATGCCTTTACCTCCTCTGCTTCCCAGACTGGGAGCCCCATGGGGATCTCCGTGACCGGCAGTGTGTGTGGGGCTGCAGCAGGGAGGAGCATGAGGGATTAATCAACACTTCCAGCCTGAGAACATCACCTGCCCCATGCCCTTCCCTCCCCACCAGCTCCACATGTCCCTCCCCTGCCATGGCCCATGGCTGCCAGGTGTCAGCTCTCTCCTCTGCCTCCCAGGCAGGAGCAGGGTTATGAGCACCCTGTGGGACAGACATTTACACACACCAACTCCCTGACCCTCCTCATCAACCCTGTACCCTCTTGGCTCCTCTCCACGGATCACCAGAGGTACACAGAGCAGCACAAAAGACCCTCAGCCCCCCAGCTCCCTGCCTGCAGCCCCTGTGTTCTCTGCCTGCAGCTCCCCGGCTCTCCACCTGAGCTTGCTGCCTTCCCCTGCTTCTATCAGACCTTATCACACTTAATTTTACTCCTTCTCTCACTAACTGCCCTCTCTTTCTTATCTCTCCTTCAAAGCCAATATTTTACTCCCTGCCTTTTTTCCTCCTTATCACACTCTCTCTCTCTCTTTTTTTTTTTAAATACTTTCTGCCTTCTGTGCTTCTCCCTTGCTCTGCTGCCATTTCTCTCTGCCAAGAGCTCTTCTCTCTCTACCACTGTGCTTCCCACAGTCCCTTCCACACGCAGGTTTTTCCCCCAGTCTCTGCCTCTCTCCTCCCCTGGCAGGGGTCTCATCCTGCTCCCACCACGGCGAGCAGCACAGTGGCATGGAGGGGAAAAGACCTTTGGGCTTTGATTCCTTTTCTCCTTTCTCCCTTCCTCCCTCCCTTCCTTTTCCCACCTCCTCCTTCCTCACTCCCCACATTCTCTCCAGCCCTGCCCAGCTGGTTTGCCATGAGACAGAGCAGAAACTTTGCAGTTCAATGCCTTCTACCAGGTTTTTGCAGGACATGGTAGCAGGGAAAGGATTTGGGATGCAGGGGCTCAACGCCCTGGAGGAGATGGCTGGGAGAGCAGCCCAGCTCTCCCTTTCCTTTGCCCTGGCTCCCACAGGAAAAGCAGGCCTATTGCTTTCCTCTCTTTTTCCTGGATCTGTATCTGCACGGTTATGATAGATTTACTGTGATTCTATCAGTTTATGATTAAAACCCATAAATTTTACTAGGCCTTTTTCTTATTTTCCATAATCCGCAGCATTCAAGGCAATTCAAATTTTAACTGGAAAGCATGGGCTGTGCAGTTAGGTCCCAGTGTAATGTGCAATGGTTCATTTCCCAATTCACCCCCATTACTGGTGGTACTAAAGAAATATTTTCCCGTGAAAGAGGTTTTTCCTCAATTCCCTTGAAAACAACATCCTTACCTGAGCAAAGGATCAGAGGAACACAGTGTCCCCCACCACTGTGTTTTGTTCCCATCCTGAGGTTTCTAAGCAGAGCTTCCCTGTGGATTTAGGGAGTTGCTGAGGGTCACAGGGTGGCAGGTCCATGTCAGCTGCCCCGTCTCAGCTCCCATCACCAGGCAGCAGGTAGCTCATGCCCCTCCAGAGGTTTCATCATGTGCCTGTTACGATCCAGATAATAAGACATTTCATTCAAATGAGCAAATTTATTCCAGTGGCACTTTAATAACAAAATCAATAAAACTACACTTCCCAGCAGGGCTTTATCATATGCTAGAACTACAGCATATTGCCTGGATATACTAAATTTTCTCCCTGAAATAAAGTGCAAAGTTTAGAAGACAGATGACACCATTTGCAGCACTAGTAGGATAAATATCCTAATAAATCCATGGCCACCTGGGCACATCAGAGTTGTCACACGCTGCACTTTGTGGCCACTGAGAACTTCCCAATGACAGTGAGAACTAGAATGAGACCTCTGGGGCTCACGGTGGGGATGTAGGGAGTGTGGGCTCTGGAGCACAGCCCTGTGTCATCAGAGCAACAAGGCATCCATGCAGACAGACCAGCCAGAGTGGAATGCCTACATGGGAACATCGTGGACCTGGTTATCGGTGCAGGGAACCTTATCTGTTGTGGCTCTCTCTGAAAGAAGCAGCTCTGCTCAGGTGGAACACTGAGCACCCAGCCTGGGGACCAGCCATTCCATGTGGTGGGGACCAGGCTGGCCTCTCCCAGCAAAGCTCCTTGGTGCCACCACTAAGCTAGAAAAGAGATAGGACAGTCAGGAAAGGCTGCTGGTCCTGCAAGCCCAAGGGGCAGCAGCGCCCTGGGAAAGACAACTGCCTAAGGAAGGCCCATGTGAAGGGACAGTTGCTGCCCTGCCCCTTGCTGTGCACTCCTCCATGCAGATCCCACCCCCTGAGCCCTGCACTGGGCTCTGTGGTGCTTTCCCATGGGCCATCCCTCTCACTCCCTCCCCACCTCCATCCCCCTCAATTACTGCCTGCTGCTGCATCGGTGTTTCCCACATCATCTCACTACAGCACCTTGCCTGACACGAGATTACGGCTCTTCCCTCCTCCATCATCCTCCCAGACCGTCATCCATCAGCTCTGCAAACCCTGCCCTGTTCCCAGCCGTTCCAACTGCCAGTCAGCCATTTCCCACCAGCTCTCTTCTCCTCCTCATCCCTTCAGCTTGTGCTTCCCGAGCCTATCAGTGTTCCCCAGCCTTGAGTGCTGCGAAACTAATTAGCTCACTACAAAGATTGAGGAATAATTAGGGACTCCACTGAAGGCACAAAACTAGGGCATCTTGCCTTAAATAAATGCAAGTGTCTCTGCGCTCTGCTGACGGCCTGCGATTGCTTCAGGCAGATGATTACACGACTCACTGTCCCTCAGCTCCCACTCCAGGCATGTTCACCAGAGGTGCCTCTGCCTTCATCTCGCCCTTTAGACAGGTCCTTTCTGGGTTTTTTTTTGGCTCATGTCCCTGCACCAGCTACTCCCCAGAGCTCCACAGCTTGCCAGGCACCAAAGCAAGCAGGCAGCATTCCTGAAGATGCTGGTGCTGCAGGTTTGGGTGCTGCCTCCTCAACAGATCCCCATCTCCATCTCTCTCAGGGGGAAAGCTAGAACCAAGCATGGAAAATAGCAAGAAAAACATTTGCAAAACTTCTTTTCCAGTTGCCTGTGCTGGGTAGAAGAGAGGCCAAAACAGCCTTTTCCCTGGGCAGTTCCACTGTGTTGGGCAGGAGTCTGCCCTGCCCCACGCTGGAGTCCCTAAGGACAGGGTGATACAAAAGAGGAGGATTTGGGGGCTGCACAGCTCCTGCTTCCTCACACACAGACCGTGCTGGGCACTCCCCACCTGAGCATGTGGAAGGCCCTGGTGACACACAGGGGTTCCCTGTAATCCTCTGCCTCCCGCTGAGGAAATCCCCCTCCCTCCTGCCTCCACCGGGTAATGAGCAGGAGACAGAGTCAGAGGCAGCCCAGAATGAGGCATCTCTGACCTTCACCACTCACTCATCTCCCAGCACTGTGAACAATCCCTCCTCCTGCCATTGTCTGTGCCTGAAGAGGTCCACACAGTCAGCACTTACAAATGATATTTAATAACAAGCTGACACTCAGCCCCTGTGTCTCACCCAGAGATCTGAGGCAGCCTGATAATGTCCTCAGTCATTCGTGGAGGAGCAGAGCCTGTTGCCTGCCGGGGAAGTTGTGTGGGGAGACAAACCCTACTTTAGGCCCTTCGGAAGAGCCACTCCAGCTCCTGCTCCCTCTGAGCCTGGTCTGTCCAGGCTGAGCATCCCCTCCTGCCCTCAGCCCACCCCTGCGGGGAGGAATGCTGGTGGCCACAGTGGGAAAGGACAAGTTCTCACCTTAGGGACCAACCACCAAAGGACCTCATGGACACTGTGGTGCTTCACACAGAGCCTCAACCCCTTCCATCAGAGGCCTTATGGCCTCGTGGGTTTGGTTTGTTCTCAGGGGTTTTTATTGCCTCAGATCCCCAGCCACAGAAGGGGCAGGGAAGGAGGGGTGAGAAGGGGGTCCTAATGTGACAGCCTACATCAAACTGACCCTCATGTAGCCACAACTCCTCCTCAGTGGTCCAAAGAGGTGAGGTATCAGGTGTCCATCACCCACAGGAGGTTCCCTTCCCATACCTAAGGACACAGGCTTGTGGAAGATGAAAATCTTCAGCTTTTTGTATGAGGGTTTGGGATCTGGGGAAGGTCCACACCCTGAGAAGGGCCACACTGAGCCAGCCCCAGGGCCGTGAGCCTCAGGAACATGTCCCTAGGAAGGGGTTTATCGCAGAGGGAAAGCCCAGGTGAGCCCAGAGGAAACCCAGTGACTCTCCTTCTGTGCAATCCCTCCCAGTCTCGGGCAACCCAAGGTTCCGGAGCTGCTGAGCCATGCAGTATCTGCACCATTTATTTGTTTTTAGTCCTTAACAAATATTTCTTCCTCAGAGTCATCTGATTTCATTTCGCAATGTACTCGTGCCCCTGGTCCTCAGCAGGAATTGTAGCAGTGGGTGCCACACCCGGATCCTGCTCGCTGCTGCCAGCGAGGTGCATTTGCTCAGCGCACCCTGCACTGTGCATAGGAAATTACGCTGCAAGTGCAGCTCCCTTTTTTCCAGCTCTAAAGGGTTAAGGATTTACAGAGACCAGGTGAAGCTAGGCAGAACAGGCAGGGCTGGATCTGCTGGATCTGCACCCGCAAATGGACTGGAGCAGCTGCTCCCTTCTCCTAGGGTGGCCACTTAAAGGGACAATGCCAAGGTCGATTAGACCCCAAGCCTGGGCCTGCCTTTTCTTTCCCTTTTCTTTCTCCTGGGGCTCACAAGCGTTGACAATTCAAACAGATGAGAATTCAGGACAAAAAGCAAAAGTGAGAGCTTCAAACACCCTCATATAACAACCCTTCCCAGCTAGGCTGGCAAGGCAGCTTAACATTGCCTGCTCCACAGCAGCTCACCAGCTCATTGTGACCTGCTCCTCAAACCATGGGGGAAGAGACCCAAAGCTTTTTAAATTCCCATGTTTCTCTCTCTCTCTGTGAGATAACATGGTTTCACACTCACTGAGTCTGCTCACAGCTTGTAAATCCTCTCTGGCAGTGTCATTTTAGGGGTAAAACCTCCATCTGTGCCAGGTTGAGAACAGAAGCAGGGCCAGGCTGTTTCTCTGGAACAGACCTCCTTGGTCGTGCACCAAGGACCAGAGTGCAGAGGAGTCCCTTGGGCATGGCTCTAGCCTGACAGAGGGCTGTCACTAGGCAGAAAGCTGCAGGAGATGATGGGGAACAGGCTGCAGGCTCTCCAGCACTCCCCCTCTTTCCCATACCGAGCTCCTCTGATGGGATGGTCTTGAAACAAAACTGCTGCTGCCTGCACATTCCTGGTGGCTCCAGGTCTAGGCACACAGCTGTCAGCAAGGCTTTGCTGTCAGGACTCTGGCAAGAGCACCAAAGCTGACAGTATTCTCCAAAAGCAGAAGTGGGATGAGGAAGAAGAGACAAAATCACCTCAGACGCAATCTTGCTCAGTGACAAGAGGGTTCTGCTCTGGCATCTTCCAAGGAGAATGAGAAGCTCCCTGAAAGTCTGGGGTGGTTTGGGATCTGTGTGGAACTGGAGGTTCCTTCTGTCACAAGGCCCTCACAGATGGATGCTCAAGGCAGCAAACAGACAGACATCTTTATCCTGCAGTACAAGTGGAGCTGTTCTTGTCTTTCAAACAGACACCTAATCATTTTTAAGATCTCTGCCTCAGAACTATCTTTTTGATAAAAACTAATCACAGGCTTAAATTACAGATAAATACCCAATATTAAAAGAACCGTTTGAAAAAGAGGAAAGGGGTAGTTTAACAGTGCTCATTTTCTCTGCTTTTCTATAGCACACATCTTGGGCTATTTAACTGTAGAGCTTATGGATCTTTATTCTGACAGCTCTCTTTTCTTTCAGATGGGGCTTCCACAAATGTTTCCCCTGTTTTTTTTCCCCGCTCTGCCTCCGTTAACCGAATTATTGCAGCAATCACTGTCTCCAGCTGAGCAGAAGAAGCAGGCATGCTAAGAGCTGTGCAAACACACACGAAGGAATCAAGCCAGTGCTTAGAAGGCTGGATCCAAAGGTATCTACACAGGGAATGAGGGACTCACAGGTGCCTGCAAAGGATCTGGGCTATGATAGCTCAAAAACGAAAAGGAGCTGGGGGGGGGGGGGAAAAAAAAAAAAAAATCAAAGCTTCAAGTGGCTCAAGAGACTCGGTGAGGACAGAGGTCTGTGCCCACAGCTCTGCCAGCCCTTGAGCTGCCAGCCAGAGGGATGGAGCTGCTGTTGGGCTGGCAGGAATGATCCAGCTCTAGGTGCTTTTAAGCACTGCACAATCCAGGCTCACGCTGGCTTCTTCTGCTCTGCAGGGAAGAATGGCTTTGATCAACAGAAGATTGCCGAGTTAATTGTAATGATATTCTAATAAAGCTAGGGAGATTAATTACGGCTCTTTATCAGCGCTGGCCCTCTGCCAAGGGTTTGCAAAATTGTTTTCCTCTGTTTCTTGTCATTTGAATTTAGGAGAAGAAAGGAGGAAGTTGGGCGCCTTGTTTTCCTGCAGCAATCAGGAGTGTGGC